TCCCATCTGGGGGTGATGGGAGACAGTGACAGATCATCAGTCATTAGATTCTCTTAAGAAGCATGAAACCTGGATCCCTCACATGCGCAGTTCATAAGCGGGTTCGAGCTCCTATGAGAATCCAATGCCGCTGGTGATCTGACAGGAGGTAGAGCTCAGGCGGTAAGTGAGTAATAGAAAATGGCTGTAAACACAGATGAAGCTTCGCTTGCCTGCCCACCACCCACCTCCTGCTGTGTGGCCAGATTCCTAACAAGCCACAGATCAATTTTGGTTGCAGACCCCTGGCTTAAACAAGGGAAATTTATCTTCTTACAGTTCTGGAGGCTGGAAGGCTGGAAGTCCAAGACCACAATGCTTGTAGAGCTGGGTCCTGGCCCTCCTCGGCTTGCAGATACCACCTTCTGGCTGTGTCTTCACATAGCCTTCCCTCTGTGCCCACACCCTGAGAGAGAGAAAAAGAGAGAGAGTGTGTGCTAGAGAGATCTGAGCTCTGATATGTCTTCCTCTGTTTATATGGACACCAGTCCTGTGCGGCCCCACACTTATGACCTCATTTAAGCTTACTTGCCTCACTGAAAACCCTTTTTCCAAATATAGTCACATTGGTCTTTAGGGCTTTAGCATATGACTTTAGGGGAACACAGTGCAGTCCACCACACACCTTCAGGACTATTCCAGTGTCTCCTATTTAACCCTTAAGATCTCTTCTTCCCTTCTCTCCACAAGCTCTGTGCGTGTGGACACTGATCTCTATGGGTTTTAATGAGGTTTGGCCAGTGGGGTATGCTGGCCAGAAATTGGAATGTAAGACGGGGAGACTGGGGGCTCAGGTATACATTCACCTGCCCCTAATCTGCAGGGCCAACACAGGCTAGTGTGTCCCCTGACCAACTCTGATTAACCCCTCTGTCACCAGCTCCAGTGACTCCCCTCTCTCTGTGCCCCTTCAGGCCTAGAAGTGGTTATTGACCCCACACGGTCCTTTGAGGTTTTCCTTCACCATGCTCAGTTATAAAACAGTTCCCTCAGATTATTTGTTCAAAACAAGGACATCACGTCTGTCTGGAAGGGACATTTTCAGGGCAGCAGCAACCTACTGTCCTCTCAACTCAGGACTCTCTCAACCCAGTAGATCCCCAAAGCACCCCTCAGCAATGCCATTGCCCCTCCTTATTGGTGTCTTCCGTGAGTGCTGCCAGAACAGAATGACCTGTGTTCACACTTCTGAGGGAGTCCCCCCTCAGGGTGGGATTTCAGGGAACTTGGGGGTTGGAAACTACATCCTACCTCTTGGGGGCAAGGCATACATCTATTCTTTATCAGTTCTAATACTACTGCCAAGTCTAGAAAGGACTTGAGTGCTGGTCTGCTCTTAGATTCTAAGGCCAAGCTGCAATGAAGTCATGGGAGATTTGGCCAGAAAGGGTACAATAACCAGTAGCCCTCTTTTTGCCCAAAAGAAGACTGTTGTAAGGATTAATAGCTCAGGCTGTGGCTCCAGTCAGTTTTCAAGGTCTGGCATTTTCTTTTTTTTTTTTTTTTTTGGTTTAGAGACAGTCTTTCTCTGAGCCCTGTTGCCTAGGCTGGAGTGCAGTGGTGTGACCATAACTAACTGCAGCCTCGACCTCTTGGGCTCAAGTGATCCTCTCACCCCAGCCTCCCTAGAAGCCAGGAATATAGGCGCATGCCACCGTGCCTGGCTAATTTTTTATTTTTTTCTTAGAGACAAGGTCTCGCTATGTTTCCCAGGCTTGTCTCTAAGTGCTGGGATTACAGGCATGAGCCACTGCACCCAGCCCGTTAGTGAGCAGTTCTGAGAACCAGTTTGCTCATCTGTAAAATGATGATAATATAAACTTGGATCGTGCAGAGTAATGTTTGTACAGCGCTTGGCGCATAGAAGGTTTTTTAGAAATGTTAGCCTCTGTTGTTTTTAGTACACAGTGGACCTTCTATGGGTAAAAACCCTTTTGGCCATAACATGAAAAAATTATCTCTTAAGAATTGACTCTGTGTTTTCCCTCTTAGTAGAGCAATTAAAGTTCTTGTTTCTTTTTATTAAAGTAAGACATGGCCATAGAAGATTGACATAAAAAAAAAATAAAAAGCTTTTCTGATCTTACAATACAGGATAACTTCAATTACATTTTCACGTTATGGTATGCCTCTAAATTTATGCATATAGACTGCTGTACACACACACTTTTTTGTCTTTCCCTTTTTTTTTTTTTTTTTTTAAAGATACAGGGTCTTGCTCTGTCACTCAGCCTGGAGTGCAGCAGAGCAATCGTAGCTCACTGCAGCCTCGAACTCCTGGCTCCAAGCAATCCTTCCACCTCAGCCCCTGAAATAGCTGAGACTAGACGCATACACCACCACTTGGATATTTCTTTTTAATTTTTTGTAAATATGTGGTCTTACCCTGTTGCCCAGGCTGGTCTCTAACTCCTGGCCTCAGATGATCCTCCTGCCTTGACCTCCCAAAGCACTAGGATTATAGGCGTTGGCCACTGCACCCAGTCTACACACATTTTTTCCTAAACTGAGACTATGCTATATCATTTTGTATCCTACGTTTATAACTGCATTATCACAAAAATGCTTCCTAAATATTTTCTTATTAAATATTCTTTAAAATCAAGTTACTTTTTAAAGATAGTTTAATTGAATTTTATTCATGGGCACACTGTCATAATTTTACAAATATACACACACACACACACACACACACACACACATGCTTGTACCATATATGCCTTTTAGTTGCGTTGTGAGTCTTTGTCTATCATCTGTTATGGCGCTGTTTAAATCAGGTGGGTTTTTGCACAATCCCATATATTCTATTGACCTGTCAGGTGAGGCCCAGTGGGACCCTGATTTTTGCCTGTAACACAGCCCCTCTGTGTCTGATAGAGAGGGAACATATTGATGATGACTTGGAACATTCTTTCTTTCCCTCTGGTATGTTGTTCTGTCTCTGAGGTCTAGACATAGTTTCTCAGTCTGACCACCCTCACCATAGTGATGCATAATCCCTCCCAGAGATTATCATAGCATTGAACAAGATTCTTAGTTTGTGATGGCTTGGTGATTACTGCACCTTTCTCTCTATTTCATGAATATTTTGATGAAATGTTAAGGGATGGTAAACCAGGCCCAGCTGTCGAGCAGCAATAACGACTGAAAGTTTATCCCCCTCTCTCTTCATGAATATTTCCAATTCCTGGGTAATCATAAAGCATTTTTTCCAAGTTCAAGTACAAAAAGAAATGTATGATCAGGTCTGTCAAATCATGTCATAAATATTCCATTCCTTGAAGAGTCAAGGTCAGGAAGAGTTTATCACAGATATTCTAGACTTTGTTGTCTCTTTTTTTTTGGCTCTTTTTCCAGAAATTCTAAGAAAGCATCCCCCAAATTTTCCTTCCACCTGGGTACCAGAAAACTAGGGCCTAGAAGGAAGAAAGTCTCTGCCATCACTAGCTTTTTGACTTGGGTTCTCACTTCCTAATAGAAAATGACGGATTTGGCCTCAACGTCCTCCAGTTTGCCTTCTAGCTTTAAAATGGCACAATTTCTTAGAGATTCAGCTGTAGCTATTCCCAGAAATACTCTCCATTTTGGCTTAATTCTGTTTTTCCCCGAAGACATCAGCTTGTAGTCACTTCACTGTGTATGTCTATATTCTACTTTTCTTCTATTCCTTAATTATTGAGAACTTTAAGAAAGTCTTTTTTTTTTTTAGACAGAGTCTCACTCTGTCGTCCAGGCTAGAGTGCAGTGGTATGACCTTGGCTCACTGCAACCTGCACCCTCCACCTCTCAGATTCAAGCAGTTCTCCTGCCTCAGCCTCCTGAGTAGCTAAGATTACAGGCATGCACCACCACACCTGGCTAATTTTTGTATTTTTAGTAGAGACGGAGTTTTCCATGTTGGACAGGCTGGTCTTGAATTCCTGTCAGGTGATCTCATCTCTGCCTCCCAAAATGCTAGGATTACAGGCATGAGCCACCATGCCTAACCAAGAAATTCTTTTAGTTATTTTTAGCTACCAAGCTTTGGTATGAAGAATGTGACACTGTCTTGTAGCATTCTAAGAAAATATTAATAGATCTATGGTCAAATATGTTTGGAAAAATTACATTAGACTGTATCCTGCTTTTAGAATTTTACAGTAAGCATTCATTTATTAAAGGTGCTTAGAAGTTTTGTAATAAAGAGGCTCACTTAATTTTGTTTAACTCAGGGATTCCCAAACATATGTGATCTTGAAATCCTTTTATTTATGGTAGCATCCATTAACATCCCTCAGTAATTAGTGCCCACACCACTCATGGGAAGGTCAGTTCTATAGAAAGAAGTACTGTTAGTACTTGCTTCTGACACTCACCAACCGTGTGATTGAGCATGGAGGCATAACCTCTGCATAGCTCATGTTCCTCAGATGCAAACGAGGGTGCATGATAGCACCCAATTCATGGCAGATGTGAAGATTTTAAACAATAGTGCGTAACTATGGTAATTACAACTAATAATATCCCAACTCTCATATCTCACTGGGTTCAAATTTTGGCCCTGCCACTTACTGATTATGACCTTAGAAACATTACTTAAATTCCTTTTTAAAGAAATTTTTAATTTAATTACTTAACTTCTGTACCTCAGTTTCTCCACAGCATAATGGAGACAGGAATTGTGCCAGCCTCACAGGATCGTTGAAAGAATTCAATCCAGTTCATGTAAAACTCTTTGACTTGTGCTTGGTCCATAAATATTAGCCATTATTATCGTCATTATGTGTGCTCCTGTAACTTTTCTGACCGTTCTAGTCTATAAGACCAACTCTTCTTACTCCACTCCCAAAAGCTGCTTAAGCCCAGCATATTAAGACAGCAACACACGCCACCTGCACATACGCAGTTCGGCTCAGTGGATTCTGACCTCTTCATTTAGAGTCGTTTCACACCATCATTTAGCTTTCTCTGTTTGTGAACAGGGGCGGAGAGGCCTCGGCTCTGTGTTCGTTTGGGCATCTGGAAATGGCGGAAGGAGCAAAGACCACTGCTCCTGTGATGGCTACACCAACAGCATCTACACCATCTCCATCAGCAGCACTGCAGAAAGCGGGAAGAAACCTTGGTACCTGGAAGAGTGCTCATCCACGCTGGCCACAACCTACAGCAGCGGGGAGTCCTACGATAAGAAAATCGTACGTGCCATGTGCATGCCCATCACCATCTGTTTATTTAATGTTCACTTTGAAATACAAAGGGAGAACCATAAATACATATACACAAGTAATATATGGAAATAGAAAATTAGATTCGTTGATAACATCAGAAGTCGTAAACATTGCTAATTGAAAATGCTTGTGCAGTCATCACATTGCAACATTGAATGCGGCCTTAGACGTGATTAAGCTTCAGTTTCATTGAGGATAAATGATTGGTTCACATTCACATTGTGAGTTAGTGGCAGAGAAGAGACTGGAATCTATGCCTGACTCAGCCCTGGGCTCCTATCACTGTGTTTCCACACTGACTTTTAACTTTAACTTTAGTGCTTTGGTTTCTAAGTACAGCCAATTCAGTGTGAAAAACAAAAGTGTGTAAGGAAACTCAGAATTCCATTGAAACTATACTTACTTAACATGAACTAAACCTCTATAAAAGGTGCAGTTTTTTGTTTGTTTGTTCTTGTTTTTATGATGTTGATGACGAAGTCTGTTGCCCAGGCTGGAGAGCAGTGGCGTGACCTCGGCTTACTGCAACTGCTACCTCACGGATCCAAGCCATTCTCCTGCCTCAGCCTCCCAGGTAGCTGGGACTACAGGAGCCCACCACCATGCCCAGCTAATTTTTGTATTTTAGTGGAGACAGGGTTTCATGATGTTGGCCAGGCTGGTCTCAAACTCCTGAACTCAAGTGATCCACCTGCCTCGGCCTCCCAAAGTGCTGGGATTACAGGTGTAAGCCACCACAGCTGGCCAAAAAGTGCATTTCTTATAGACAGCACAAAGTTTTCTGGGTGGAGAAGCACAGAAGCTGCATGGGATCCCCCGTTTACCAACATATCCTGTACTCTAGGCAAACAGCCAGTGTGATTAAGAGTTCAGGTGGCAGGCCCAGCCTGCATGAGTTTCTTTCACTCTTGAGCTATTTGCTAGTTGAGTAATTTTGGACAAATTAATCTGTCTGTCTCAGCATACTTATTTATACAAAGAGGACATTTAGTAGCACAGAGTTCATGGAGTTATTACAAAATAATGAGGAAGGCAGTAAAAAGTGCTTAGCATAGTATCCGGCCCTTCAGTGCTTACAAAAGCTCTAACTTTTCGGGGGTGCCCAGCACTGTGCTGCTGATTATAAATTTCACACACCTTTGCACTTTGCCCTTTTTCCTGATCATGATTTTGTAAACTGTCTCTGGATTTGTCTTTTTAAGGTAGAGCTAAGATGCTGTACCTGACACTTTTTAGCGCTTAGCCAAGACCCTGCTTCTGACTCTAACAGATCTACGCAGGTTGGGGTCACTCTACTGGTGCTCCCTCTGCCTTTCCCGCAGTCCATAGGGGATAGGACTGTACCTCCTTTGTGCAAGTCTTAATCCACATCCATTCTATTCCTCTTGATTCCTGGTTACTATATGATTTTTCTGTTTCATTTATCAGTTACTTTTTACTACCTTCTTTAGTTACATTTTGTAGATGGATTTAGGTAAAAATTGCCTCCCCATATACATATCCCCCTCTTTCCCTAATTGCTCCACAATGTCTGGGTTTAAATATATACACCCAATTCTACCTGTCAGTACCTCCAACATTCATCAATAAGCATAACTCCGAAGCAGCAAGTAAAATATAAAAGGCGAAAATGCAGAGTTGAGCTTTGCATTTGAAGTTTCTGGCTTCCTTAACTGGAACGGGGATGCCCCAGTGAAATTTTGCCTCCATTAGAGAAATGTTATAATCTAGAAATATCCCTCTGCTTTTAAATAAGAAGACCTTGTGTCTTCTAACTCATGGTCAACGTCCATTAGCACGGAGTGACATCCGTCAGCCCTGCATCATGACATTCCTGATGACAACTCTGGAATAAGAGTTCTCGTTTTTTACCTCTGGAGTTTGAAATCATCTTAAGGCAAACTCACTATTGCTTCAAAGTAATTATGCCCATTTACTCAGTCCTATTATTCTCCGTGGGGTGATTGCTGTGGGGAGAGTATTGTTAAGTTTTATCAATGCCTTCTGTAAGAGAAGCATATAGTCTCATGGCAAAAATATCAAAGATGTAGGAAAGGTTGTCGCGGTCCAGATGGGAGAACGCAGTGTGTACAGAGGGACTGCAGAATCACTATTGTGAGGTTTACTCTCTAAACCTAACCTCCTGGGTCCTTCGCCATTATTTGCTGTGGTTGTATGGTTGCTGCTGTGACTCCCATGGCAGGGGTGTCATTTCGGATTCTCCCACGGATAGACAAATTGATCCATTCTGTGGGCAGGGAGAGAGCTTCCCAGGGAAAGTGGACGCCATGATGAAATGTTAATATCCTTTCGTGAGGTCATATACTTTTCCCCAGTTTTTGCTTATGGTTTCAAAGCCTTCTGTGACTTACTCTATGTATTTAACTTAATTCGTTTCTTCCTTTTTGTTTAATGCCTTTCTTCCGTTTTTGTGAGATTATATTAGTCAGTTTTCTCTAGCTAGTTCTTAGATTCCCTTACTTCGCCTGAATTCCCAAATTACCCCTAGTTGGAGAGGAAATTTGGAAGCTGTTTGTATTAGTCTCTAGCTTCAGAGAAACCACTCAGTGGATAAGCAACCCTCACGGAGTCTCGATTGCCTCGTCTGTAAAATGGAGATGATACCAGCGCTGACCTCAGAGATTTCCATGAAGATAATAAAATACTGACCAGGTACCTGGTTCCTGGTCCACAGGAGCAGCTCAGTGCATGCTCAGCCGCGTTTTCACCTACGCTCCTGTAACTTTCTGCATCCTGGGAGGTTAGGGCGTTTTTCCTAAGAGAGTTGCTTGTTGCACCTCAATCTTTCCAATCTATAAAACACTGTGATCTGTTCCACCCATCCCATAAAGAGAGACGCTCTGATCAGGAACACGTTAACAGTTTGAACATGAGTGGCATTGGCAGCAACGTCAGCCTTTTATGGTCCAGCTGACCCCTTTTCCTTCTAGATATCAGAATGACAAATCATCCTGTGTTGCGCCTGGGACCTTTCCTTCACCAGGCTTTGAACCCAGACGCCTTTGGTCCCTCGGTGATGCCCGCATCCTGTTAGTGGCATATGTGATTGAGTGCTACAGGAATGGCAGTGCCTGTCTTTGTACTAGGCCCCCTTCCCTGAGACATTCATTTCCTTTTGTCATCTGCAGCCTCCCCAGAAGAGCACAGTTGTCATTCTTCATTCATAGAGCACCTTTGTGATTTGTACCAAGACAGTTGCTGAGGATCTGAGGAGAGAGGGGAAAAAATCTCCTCTCTGCTTCTGGGAAAGCATTTTTGTTAAATAAATCGTACTTGTTCTGGACAAAATGACTTTTCATGATACGCAAACAGGAAAGCCTTGCCCTGGGTTTCAAAACATAAGGAAGTCCCTGTCCCTTGGTTTCCTGCCATTACTTCTAGCACAATTGTGGACCTTGGTATTGCATTCATGCTTTAGTAGATTTGGATCAGCAATGGCCTTATATCTTATTACAGCAAAGGAAGCATTCAAAGTATAAAGATTACAATGAAAGAAGCTCTTTCATAAGCTAAATAGAAGTCATTTAAAATGACTAGTTATTTTAAAGTCATATAATGAAAGAATGTTTTTAGGAACATATTTGTTCACATTGTATTACATGTCTCACATGTGATACATTTATATATTAATGTGTTGAAAATCTCACATTTTTTGCCCCTCTCATTTGTGCCTGACACTGCGCTATGCACGTCGAATGCAACATCTCATTGTATTCTTGGGAAACCCTATGCAGAAAGATCATGGTGCCCCCACTTTACAGATAAGAAAACTAAAGCTTGAAAAGTTAAACAAGCAAACAAAAACCACAGCTAATAAATGGTAGAGCTTGGATTCCAATCAAAGTCAGGATGGACCCCCAAACTCATCTTGTAATCAGTATGCTATCCCACCCTGATACGTCTTAGGGATATCCAGTATGGGACTATGTGAAAGAATAGTGCTTTTCTTACCTATTTTGAGTTCTTTTCAGAGTCATGAAGAAGCATTTAGAATATATACATTTCCATGGTTTTTCACTAGTCTCCTCATTTTGAATTTCATTCCTTTACCCTTTTTCATACCCCCTCAGACAATTGAACCTCTTGCAAAAAACTCAAGCTGAGTTGCTAGTTCCTATGGCAGCAGAGTTAGCACTGAGCTCCCAAGGTTATGGCTTTTGTATGATGTTCAAACCAGGGCTCTCTGATGTGCAAAGTGCCCTCTGTTAGAACACTCCTCTACCAAATATCACTTCATTTTTGTCTCCTCTCAAATTTCACCTTAAAGAGGATTTTCTTCATCGCCTTTTCTAAAATAGGGGCACACCCCTCCACCACTCTCTACTCTACCCGGTTCAATTTTTTTTTTTTCTAGTGCACTTATAGGTACTTCACATGGTGGTGCATATTTTCTTACTTACTGTCGGTTTTTCATGCTACAATGGAAACTACTTGAGGATGAAGACCGTGTTTTGTTCCTTTCCAGAGTCTGAGCTCAATAAATATTCGTGCATAAATGACTAGCAAACATTTGGAAGGATGGAGGCTTCACAAGTTGTTTATATAGCTGCAAGAAGACAGGGAGCTGCTCTGTTTCTTTCAGAGAAACTTCTTCTATTGGTAGGTTGGTGAAAGTTAAACGTTATTTGACAGGATATTTAGCATAGAAAATTGCCAGCAGGAACCCTGCTACATGATAAAGCTGTTCATGTAACCTGTTTTTAGTGTCAAAAAGCCTAAAAGATCCCATCTATAACCCCTCACCTCCTCCTGACGTTTCTGTCAAGTTCTGTTTTATGAATAAGGCTCCCCCTTCTCTCCAGTCCCTCCCATCGTTAAATTATCTCTTTCTTTTTGGACTTGTTCAGACTTTGACTTTTTTCCCCCCTAGTAATTTATCTTAGTGATTGGGACATAGGGTCTCTCAGATTCCTCCTGGGAGGGGTTCTCTGAGCCAGAGTTGGGAG